TCTTTTTCGCCTGAACCTCTACGTTTGTTCCATCTACACTAATACATTCGATATTATATCCATTAATAAATCCATTAATTTTACAATTAGAGCAACTCTTTTAGAAAAAATCTAAAAAATCTGAAAAAAATATATGTTAAACTATAACTGATAAACTTTATTTTAATATAAAAATAAAATTATTTCTTAATAAAATTATAAATTTTAATATAGAGAAAATTTCAATTTTCATTATGTTTTATTAATAAATTTAGCTCCTTTTGGTCGTCACTGTATATTGTAATATATATTAATCAAAAATATATAAATATAATTAGTTTTAATCTTGTAATAAAAAATAAAAAATGAAAAAAAATTTAATTTTTTGTTATAATATACTCTAATTATAACTAAATAATTTATTATTTTGATTTTTTATTTGAATTTAATTTATTTTTGTTATTATTTTATAATTTTAATAACTTTATATTATTAATTTATTATAATATTAAAAAATACTAGAACTTGACAATATTAGTATAGAAATATTATAAATATAAAACTTACATATTTATTTTTATAATTTAGTATCAAGTTTAATTTTTTCACATAAATAATTTATATCTATTCATATATATAATTTAACAATCATTAGAAAATATAATAGCAACAATATAAAAACTCTGAATTATTATGAATACATATAATTACTTTTATTTTAGAGTATATTATAAATATAAGAAAAAAGATAATAATAATATTTCAATGAACTTAATAGTGAATTAAGCAAAATATCTTTATTATTTACAAATCAAATTCAGATCAAATAAGCTGAAGATATAAAAAAGATATTTATATTTATTAAATTTTTTTAAAAAACAGGTTAACAATACTTAATTTATTTTTGATATAATAGCGTTATTTGGAAAGTATTATAGAAAAAGTTGGTCTATTTTAAAGTATTTGTGGAAATTAAAAAGTGGAATTATTACTCTAGGTTGCAACCCATTTTTTATAGCTGTAATTAAGGTTGCAATCCTCAGCCAGACTTGCGGCAGTATCTACTTCAGTCTATTTTCATTATTTTACTTTATAAAAATCTTGTATAATCAACAGCTTGATCAGGTTTTAAAACATCTTATAGCTATTGCTTTACATGTACATCTTATAGCTATTGCTTTACATGTACATGTAAGCTCCTCCTGAAATGTACCTAATAAATCTTTAAATGTAACTTTTTACAGCATTCAGAGTTACGCCCACTGCCAAGATCCTAAAACTTAATACATGTACATGTACGCGCTAGAATTTTTTTCCTATTGTAAACTTCAACGTTAGGTATTCTATTGTACTATACATACATACAGGTACATGTACGCATAAATATGGATAACTCATTGTTGTCCGACTTCTGTAAGGTGCACATTATACACGCTTGTTTGACATATTTGATATAAATGGATTAAACTTTCATCTTCAGAGAAACACATTAAACTTTTGTTAATATCGCAAAACGATAAATTTTTCAACATGTCAAAAAAATATACTCATTTCCTCTTTGTTTTAACAATTATTATTTTATCGCTTTCGTGCTTATCATACGGACGGCCAATAAATTTTGTAAAGCGTGCTGATACGAATAGCACAAACGGATTCTTCAACAATTTCAATGACAACGGAAACAACAACACAGGGAGTGTAAATGGAAATTATTTTGGCGAAATAAATATTGGACAGAATAAATGCAATGGGACACCTATATCAACAGACGATGGACAAAATAATTACAAAAACAACGGAAACGGGAATAATGGATTTATTAATGGATATAATATCGAATGTATTAGTGTAGATGGAACAAACGTAGAGGTTCAGGCGAAAAAGACTGACACACAAAACATCAGTCTAAGCAATAGTTTCAACGATAACGGAAACAATAATACAGGGAATGTAAATGGAAATTACGTCGGTGAGATAAACATTGGTGGCAATACCATCAATCAATGCAATCGAACTGAAAGTGGCGAATACAACTTCAACGATAACGGAAACGGAAACGACGGATCATTCAATGGAAATCATATTGAATGTGTGGATATAAATGGTCAAAAAGTGGACTTAAACCAGTTTATGTTAGGAACATGAATTAAATAAAACAAGTAGATTTTAGAACAAATAATGATGACATATCATTATCGTTGTTATGATGCATGTATAATTACAATAAAATAAGGTTAAATTCATTCTACATTTATAATGTTAATCAAGAACGTGAAATAGCGATAGTAACAGGAAAATGTAAACAAGTTTCAAACTTGAATTGATATATCTAGGGAAATTTTTCTGCCCCAAGTGTACACATGAACATATATATAGAATATGATTCTCATAAAGTGTTGTTGTATCCTTACATATCAATATCTATATCAAATTCTACCAAAATTGGTAGTTTTGATTCTTAGCGTTAGTATGAAATATTTTTAGGAAAATACTTGTACCTGTTCTCGTTATTATGGTTAATACATGTACATGTATATGTATTTATTTGTTAATAGTAATCTATACAATTTTATTTAACGTTAATCAAATCCAGAATTTAAGGAACCATTGTTTCTTCCTTATACATGTATTACAACAATAATTCATGCTATGTTAACTAAATAAACATAAAATGTAAACTAAGGAAATATAATAACATAAAATTCTCTCGCTTAACCTTTATTAGCTTCTCTTCAAAAGTTACAGAATAAACTGTACGTTCTTATCAATGTTAATAATAAATGATATAGTTTAATATAGAATTTTAACTTTTACATTGAATAAATAAGTCTGACACGTGACACATACAGTAAATTATACTTTTATTACATATATATCATTGTCTGAAGTCAATGTGTATGATGTGAATATTGAATATGTTTTTCAAATCCTTCACAAATTTTTGCTGAAATATATACAGTATTTACTAAATTTTTAGAGCAAAAACCACTTTTTTTGTAAGTATTATTAAACGTGAACATAAATCAATGCAATTACATATATATATAGTTTGTGTTTTTTTGATTATTACACTTTGACTTAAAGAATGAATTTTTTCTCAATATTCAGATTATACTGAATGATTTACAAAAGATCTACTATGATGACTTGTCACAAATCAAACTTAAAGGTAAGAATAAGTCAAACCAAAACATGGCTTATTTATTATAAAAGTATTTGATTAAGGATAAGAGTCTTCTAATAACAAGAAACTCTTTTTGTAGATATTAGTATTTAAACTTTTCTAATTGACTTCTTTGTTATATTGCATAAGTTTTTGACAATTACAAAATAATTTAATTGTGTCATGTTAAATATAATAGTTATAAAATATTACAATACGAAACTGTTAATTAAACAATAATGTTAAGCGCATAAGAAACTATGAAAGTAAGGAATTATTGTTATAATAGTCAAGAAAATTCATATTCATAGATTATTTATGTCTTTAATTAATATCTGATGACTTTAAATTTTCGCATCATAGGATATGAGATTTTGGAAGCTTAAAAAATTATAAATGAATATACAGAATCAAATGTTATTACGACTTGTAAAATTACATACTCAAAAGTCATAGACCGGTGGATTGTTGCAATGTGCCATACTTAAGTGGTGTGGATCAATATTAATTTGTACTGGGTCTGAATTAACGTTTTGCTGGATGCATAGATGTGCTGCCGCTTAAAGGGCTGATTTACGTTATTCGCATTTCAACAATTCTTCAAAGTATCCAGCATTTACAACAAAATCATTTAAAAAAGTTCGAGCGCATTAAAACTTTCCACCATACGTGTCTTAAATTCAACATCTGTTTCAAAATTATTCACGATTGGGAAATTACTGTTTGCAGCTGACGAAAACAACGGAATAGTGAAAACCTTTCATGAATGTGTCTGCGATTGTCATATAACGATGAATCAGTCCCCAAGGTCGTAATGCATTTGTTCCTTTTTAAATATCAAAAATAACAAGATTTTAAAGGAGTAATTAAATAAACTTTATTGAGAAATACATACCGAATAAAACAAGCATTTATTCCTGCCGCAATCACCCATATGCCATCGGATAAAGCAAGTGCACCGAGGAACTATTTTAAATTAAGTTTATAAATGTGTCTATACAAGGAATAAAGAATACACATATTGTTTTGGTTCTTTCAAAATAAAAACGAGAACGATACTTTAATTATACGGTAATTATCAAACAAAGGAAAAAAATTATTGCTTTTCTTTTAGTCACCTTTGTTCTCTTAGCCTTTCTATCATATAACTTCGAGGTTCTATCACAATATTTTGCTTTGTTAGACTATAGCCAAGAAACTCTATAGAAATAAACAAAGTTATATTCATTTAATTAAATTATCTTTAATATCATTAATATAGAAACATGAAATAATACCGTAATCCGAGTGGTATATGTTTGTTTGTTATAACTTCGGAATTCCAAAAGCAGTACTTTGTGTTTGGGATATAATTTCTTTAATGGTTCGTGAAATGACAAATCTCCGGTCTAATTAAAGAAATATTTTAAAATAAAACAATTTCACAAAAATAACATTAATAAATGTCATTTGTTTCCCAACATACTGTACTGATAATTTTTTAAAAAAAGATCATTAGTATTTAATTAAAATCTCTTCTGGAATATAAAATAAAAAATTTAAATTTCATTAATTAGTAAATAAGTTTCGTTTAAGTACTCCAACGAGGCTGTAAATATTTTGCCATAGGTATCTTCAAATTTTGATCTTTCACTATCTAAATCTGAACTTTGTTTATTGCTTGCTATAAGGCCCGAATTCTTTAAAAATATTAGGATTAAAATTTAATGGAGTATAAAAATTTTTAGTTTTGCCTGGGTCGAAGGCAGAGATGAGATACATTTACTTATTGTAGGGTCAAAGGTGTTGACATTTGGAGTGAAACTTAATGTTATGCTACCAAGTCCGTCAAGAGTGAATCTTCCTATAAACTTACAAATGTCCTCCAGTTATAAATGGTCTGTCTGTACAGGTTGCTTGACATACTGTGTACAATCTTCAGTTCTAAATAAAAAAAAATATTTTATATTTTCTCTCATTAACAAATTAATTTTTTCTAACTTACTTAGAATTAAATGAGAAACATTCGAGCTTAAATTGAAAGGAAACGTTATCAAAATAAAAAGTAAATAGATATTAATTATCTGTTGCAAATATCTGTAAAATATTAACCTGGTATAGGAAGAGAATCTGCTTCAAATATGGTTTTATGCAATACTGGACCATCAACATGTATATCGATAATTTAAAAAGCCGTGAATGTTACCCGACATACGAGGATTGATTTTGGCTCAAAATGATAATATCGATAAAAATCTCTTTCAAATTTATGTATATCTTTGTTTGAGTCATTTTAGACAAGTCGCGTCGCAAAAAATACATGTGCATGTAGATATCGGAAAAAATATTCATTCGTGTAGTTTATGTATATATCGATATTCATTGCTGAACTTCAAAATTTAACGTTAGCACGTTAACATTAAAAAAATAGTTCTATAAAAGGAAATTCTTGGTATCTAAGGTCCAAATCGAATGATTTAACATCATTCGATTTGTTTTATTGAGAAAATTGAATACAGTATTAAAATTCATTCGATTTAAAACACTAGATGCAGAATTTCAAGACATCAATTATTAATCGGTTAATTGAATGACTTTGTTAGCAAATCAAAATCAGCTGGGGTACCAAAATATTCGCAATTTTGATTTTATGTTTTTAGAATTCTGGTTCAATCGAATGACTTTTAATATACTGCATTCAAAAAAATATTTTAATGATTAACCGTGTAAAACGTTACTTCTGTGACGGTCCGCATATTTTATTATTTTGTTTGATACGTTCTACATGTATATTTATTAGTTAACATTTGATAATAGATTTTCTCAATCATCATGTTAATTTTTCTTAACCAATAAAGGATAAAATAGAATACAGAAACAGATGGAGTGCTAATCAGGATGCATTTTTACATATAATTCTGGCACCTCATGAATGTATCATTGTTATGTAAGAAAAATGATAATTTAAGAGTTACCCATGTAAATACTATCGAGTCTCATTTGATAATGAATTTAATTATCGTCATGTATAATAAATAGCAAATATTTTAAGAATTAACTATGTAAAATATGTTACTTCTATGACGGCCCGCATACTTCGTTTAATACTATCAGTCTCTCATTAGCAAAGAATTTATTATCGTTAAGTATAAAAATAATAAATTATAACAACATAAATGAGAACACTAAAATATGTTACTATTATGTGAAAAACATATAAATAAAAACAGAATTTATAACTCATCTAATTTTATATTTATTATTTCTAAATTATTCTATTTACATGGAAGATTGGTATTGGATTCTCTCAGAAGATCGTATTGTTCTCGATCAAAGAAAAAAGTAATTTTGTGATACGTATCAAACTGTAAGTTAAAGAAGTATCTGATTTATTCCATAAATTCATAAAGTCAAATTTTATAACTAAATTGTTGCATTATGTAAAGAGGATTCTGACAGAGAATAAATGGTAATTATATTATATTTAAACATCCTGAACTAAATGATTATGAATTTTCATTAAGTGATTGTAAGTGCTCAAAAGTGTATTTTAAGAATATCGCAATTTTGATCGATAATAACTAATGATATCTTTTCTATAAAGGTCCAATCAATGGACATAAGATCCATGTATAGTAATGAAACCAAGGGAAACGAATAACAAACTTCAACACTGGACATATGATTCTAATAATCATATAATATACTCTGCTCTTCCATATTATGTACTGACTGTAAAGGTAAACATTTGAATTTAATCTTCTTTCTGAATACATGTATACTCTTTTTATTTAATTGATTAATTCTTATTGTAATAAACATAAAGTCCTGAAAAATGCCTCATCTTGGATGTAAACAACTCGATACTCCAGTTCGAGTAAATGGAAAGGTCTACTCGTTAAATAACGTAAATTAAAATTGACATTCTGCCATGAAAATTAATTCTCTGAGATTAGTCCTCACCGATTATTAACAAGCATATATTCGTGCAAAGTACATCGTA